CAAAAAGCATGTTGGTAGGGGCAGTGGAGGTAAATATCGATAAGTCTATGAAGGAGAGGTCTACTTCAACCGGAAGGAGCAAATGGAGACCCTGGTCCAAAGGAGTTATTTCAAAAAGCATGTCGGCAAGGGCGGTGGAGGTAAAAATCGATAAGCCTATAAGGGAGAGGTCAATGTCTCCTCCCAGACGCTCAGATTGGGCTTCAATAATCATCAATATGACTTTTCAGGGTCTGAGTTGGGGCAATCAAGTAACAAGAGGAAAGATCTAATTTGGAAGCTCGACATGAAGTCTGCTCAGCCTGCTCACAGCTCCAGTCTTATCAAATAACCTTTTTTGACAAAGACTTCGAAGGAATTCACCTCCCACCATAATGACACTTTAGTCATTAATGCACCTTAGATCGACCATGTCAATGTTCGTTGTGTTCTGGTTGATGAAGGTGCCTTAACAAATATTATCTCCTTCTCAACCTACACAACCCTGAATGGAGGCGAGACAAATTGAAGCCCGCACTGGTAAACTCGTCACTCCTAAGGGCTGTATCGATCTCCCTATTACATTAGGGGAAGGAAACACTCAGCTTACCAAGGTGGCTGAGTTTGTGGTTATTGATGTCAGGTCGGCATAAAATGCCAAATGATCTTTGGCTGATGGAGATGAGTATTAGGAATCGTGGAAAATTAAAATGAATGCCATCTTTGACTAAAGAAAAAGGGTGGATCTTGCAATTGCATCCCTAAGTCGACCTTAGTACTGTAACAAAAGAAGAATCGTTAGAAATGGACAAGCGTCCTTCTACCAACAACTTGAGCTCTATTTTTTTTTTCTCTACCTATAGTTCACTCTCATTTTCTTTTATTCTTCTTCTGTTTGAAACAACTCAGTTTTCTATATTTTTAAAGTCTATGTAATCTGAAAAGTAATTCAAGATGTTGTATGACATATTAAAAGAGCATGGATACAGAGTCCAGTCCATATCTTGAATTATGAGTTTGAGATATTACAATTCGATTTTGAAGCTGAGTGTTTATCTGGTAATTATCAAGTATTAGAACCAGTGGTAAACAAATTTTGCTCTTTAAAGAATAAATATATTCAAAGGAAGTTTTCACAGATATATGTTAATTTTCCTTTTGTTTTCTTTTTTATTGTTGTTATTATAAAATTAAATTAAATTAAAAATATTTTGTCCATTTTAACATGGTAGTCGATTAGTATATATCTATATCTATAATACATATAAAAGTACCGATATTGAATAATTTTTTTTTTTGACAACGTTGTCCTAATRTTAAAAATAATGCCTCAATTGTCCTTATTAAATTATTATATTTTTGATTTGAAATCCTCCCACTCCCACGGTTCTTCTATGATTTTTTTAAGAAAGTTTTCTTATTATTTTAATACATTTATTTGAGTTACATATACATTGGAACCAATAATCTAAATAAATCCATAAAATAAACAAGGGAAAGAATGTGAAAGATTGAATAGAATTGTTCTCAATTTATTCTTAAAAATTAATTATAAGATTAAAGACTTTACCTTTAATTATAATTAATAATGAAATTTTAAAAGTTAGATTGTTTTAATGGCTAAAGAATGTTAAAGAAATAAAAGTATAAAACTATATTGAAATTAATAATTAGATAAATTTATGAAATTGAAGTGACAAAATTGTGAAATGTTTGAATTTAAAAAAAATTATTAATTTATTTTTAAAAATTGATTTAAATATTTGTAACCATGAAATATAGATTTAAAAAATTAAAATATTTGAAAAATATTTTTGGACCATTTCGTTTCCCTATAAACTTTTAAATGTAAAGAGCACGTCACTCATGGTTAATTATCAATAACTTATAGGGGCTGTTACAAATATATAGCAAAAACATATAAAGTAAAATTAGCAAAATAGCAACCAGATTTAGTTTTTTTAAATATAGCATTTAAAAAAAATAGAGATCCAATTTTAAAATGACAACTTTAYCCAAATAATATAAATCTGTAATATATTTGACTACTGATATATGTACGTGATATACATCTGATATACTACTGATATAAGTGTCTAATATACTTGTAATATATATGTGATATACATCTGATATACTACTGAAATGAGTGTCTGTGCAATATGTATGTGATATACATATGATATACTACTTAATATGAGTATCTGATATACTATTGATATGTGTATATGATATACTATTGATATAAGTGAAAATTTGTGCTATATTTGAAAATTTTAAAAAGAGGTGACATATGTTGAAACACATAAAAGATTTTTGCTACCTACATCAATTCCCTAAATTATATTATATTAATTTAAAGGGGCAGTTACAAATATGACAAAAAAATTTAAGGAAATAACAAATTTAATTAGCATCTATATTTTAGTTTTGAAAATATAACAATTTTTTTTTTTGGAAAAAAATGGAGGTCCAATAATAAAATACCAAATTTACCCTCGTAGCACTAATATAACACTGATATATATATCTAATATATACTTGATATACCTTTTATTTACTACTGATATACGATTGATATATCATTGATATAACTATGATATCCACTAATATAACTTCTTATATATTTATATGATTTACTATTTATTGATTTATCACTGACATATGTGTGATATATAATTGATATGTCTTTGATATACCATTGATATAATACCGATATACAATTGATTTACTTTTGATATAACTATGATATCTATTAATATAACTTCTAATATGGTTTACCAGTGATATACATAAGATATAACTATGATTCCTACTAATATAAGTTCTTATATAATTATGGGATTTACCATTTGATTTACCACGCTGATATAATACTAATATATTTGTGATATATACTTGATATGCCTCTAATTTACAATTGATATAACTATTATATCTACTAATATAATTTCTTATATGATTATATTATTTACCACTAATATAACATTGATATATCTGTGCTATATACTTAATATGCCTCTAATTTACCGTTGATAAATCTTTGATATAACCATGTTATCTACTAATATAAATGTGCTATCTATGTGTTGATATAAATCTAATATATCCACTAATTTTTTTTCTCAAATGAAAACAATGGTCAAACAAAAAAAATGAAATCTAAAATTACTGCAAAAAAGATTGATATGGACCATGGACGTAAAAAAAAAAAGTTAAAAATCTGATATACTTTATAAACTTAAACAGTTGATATCCCTTATATTTAGTATCTAATTAATATTGATATAGATTAAATAGTTGATATAACAATCAAAATTACTTATGATATTAGTATACCAATCAACAAATCGCAGTGATAAACTACAATTTAAACCACTGATATACCACTGAAAATTAAACATTTAATATACCTTATATTTAGTATATCAGTTACACATATATTTAATATATCATAAATTAGAGGTACATCAGATGTATATTAGATGTATAATACATACCTCTGATGTATATTAGGGGTACATCAGATGTACATCGAGCGTATCGTGTGTATATCAGATATACATTAGACGTATATCAGATATACATTCATCAGGCGTATATCAGATATATATCGAGTGTATATCAGATGTCATAAGGGTAAAATTGGAATAATAAAAATTCCAAAAATAAAATTCAAATATTTTGCCATATTTGTAAAATACAAAAGATGTTGACATTTTGGTAAATATGTATAAAAATTTAACTGCCGAATCCTAATTTCCCTAATTTAATCATCATGCAATGGAACATGAAATTTTTTTTTATCTAAACTTATAATATAAATTAATTCGATTATATAACCTTTAATTATACTTAATTTTTTATTATCAAAAGTTTTGGAATTTCAAAATTTTGCAACTATTTTATTTCATGTAACTATATAAAAGGATTCCTTTTCACTCGTTTCGTGTAATAATTTGAGCTTTTTTTTTTCTTTACTATTCTCTCTCAGTGTATCTCTTTTGCACACTCCATAATCTATCCCCAATCAATCATGAAATTTTTTCTAACTTTTTCCTCTCTCATTCTCCCATTTTTCCTTTATCATGTTCAACATTTTCACCTCGTGGCCAATTGTTACCATCAGTAATGACTTCACCATCGTCACAATGAGTAACTACAACGTACAATTCACCAAAGTGTGGTGAATCCATCAACCATACTCATCAAATGTCAAGTTTCCAAATGTAGCATATTTTTTCTTGTCCATGCTGTTGAATAGGAAATTTACGAGAGATTATAGTAAAATGAATCGGGCAATAGCTCACAAAGCAATATGAGAACATAATGATCAAATGTTTGAGAAGTTGACTTTATTGCTTTTTAAGATAATGCATAGCTCCATGGAGAAGAGGAAGAAAAGACTAAGCAAATATTTAAGAGAGAATACTTTTTTTATAAAACAATGGTTTGAAAAAAGAACAAATATACACCTATTAAAGTTGTTTTGTGTGAATATTATTGTCTGAGAAAAAGAAAACCCTTGTTTTCCTTGACCTTTTTACAGGCATGTGTGATTTCTCAGTCTTTTTTAATTTTATTATTTTTCTAAAGAAAAAAAGTTAATATTTTCCAACGATAATTTGGTCAGTCAGCGGGTAGGAGGGAGCTTTGGAAGCTTACCTTGACTTGTTGTCCGGACGGATAACACAGCCCCGTACCGCCTTAAACAAGCGTCAGGAAAATGGAGCTTACCACAATTCAAGCGTTTTTTTCAGTACAACATGTGAAGGTTATGTTACTTACCAACTTGAACTAGAACTATGCGATTTGATTATTAAACTTTATTTTTAAATATACTAAAATAAAACCAAAAATGACGTGTTATATATATATATGATGTGTTCCAATGGGGTGGATACCCTGTCATGTCACTGAGTGGAGAAAAACGAAAAATAAATAAATAATAACAAACAAACAAACGACAGGTAATACTTGAAGGAGAGCCTTTGAAAACTTATCAACATTTTGACATTTGCAAGTCACTCCAATGGCAGACAGCAAAGTCTGAAATTTTCTCCATACTCCCAAATATTTCAATGGCAGAAAGCAAACTCACTTCCCTGGATGATGATCTTAGATCTGTGAAGATAATCGAGATCTGTAGAGTGGCTCCTCAGCAGTCGGAGGATTCACTTGCGCCGTCGTCGTTTTCTCTAACCTTCTTCGACCTTCTATGGCTTAGGTTCCATCCCATCCAACGTCTTTTCTTCTACGAATTATCATCTACTTACACGTCCTTTCTCGACGCCATTGTTCCAAAGCTCAAGATCTCTCTCTCCCTTGCTCTCCGCCACTATCTTCCCCTTGCTGGCAACCTCGTTTGGCCCCAAAATGCTGCCGCCCCAACCGTCGAGTTCGTCGAAGGTGATCGCGTTTCGTTCACGGTGGCCGAGTCCGACACCGACTTTTACCATCTTTCTGACAACAACTTTCGTGAAGTTACTGAATATCATCCTCTTGTCCCCGAACTGCCTGTGTTCCATGATCGTGCTGCAGTGATTGCTATTCAGGTTGTATTAACTGAATTCAAAATCTTGAGTTGATAAGTTAATTTATATGTCTTCCTCTCATTCGTATTAAATCACTAATCAATTCAAAAGGTTAAATTAATAGCTAGGTTTTGGATATATGTAGTCATGATTTACATACTATTTTGGTTAGTTTATATTTTTTTTGGTTGATTTTAGTACATATACTTTCCAATTTTTATTCAATTTGGTTTTTTATACAAAATTTCATTTTTTATCCCTACTTTTAAAAATGACTACCTTGTTACTGTTTACAAAATTTTAATACAAATTTCATACCCAACAAAAATCAATTTAATAAAAATTTATGGTTAGGACCAAACCCGTCGATCACTTCTTTAAATGTGTAAATGACCTAGATACAGACATTTCAAGATACAAAATTTAACAAAAATAGAAAGAATGATAGGACTAATCTAATCCTCTTACGAAAGTATAAAAATATTAAAATAGACATCTTAAGAGTAGACATATTATTTGTTTTATATTCTTTTAATCCACACACAGGTGACTTCATTAAAAAAAGGAGGGTTTTCCATTGGAATAACCAACCACCACGCAGTTATGGATGGAAGAACAGTGACTTCGTTTGTAAAGACATGGGCTCGTATTTGCAATCTTGGAGGATCATCACCTATTCCGACCGTCGAGGCGATGCCGTTCTACGACAGGTCGGTTATCGACGACGCGGCAGGTCTGTCGGCGGTTTACGCCAACGTATGGCAGAATTTGGAAGGATCCAACAACAGGAGCCTGAACCTTAAACTACCCAAAACTCCACCTGGTTTAATCCGATGCAGTCTTGAACTCACCCCCAGAAACTTACAAAAGCTAAAACAATGGGTTTTGAAGAAGCGAGGGAACAATGATGAGCATGTATCTTCATTTGCTTTGGCAACTGCTTACCTTTGCGTATGCACCGCAAAGTCTGAAGGTTTAAGAGATGGAAAGTTTGTGTTCGGATTTGCTGCTGATGCGAGAACTCGTTTAAAACCGCCAGTGCCTTCAAATTACTTTGGCAATTGTTTGGTTGCTTGTTTTGTTTTTATGGAAAGAAGTGAGATTTTGGGTGAAAATGGAATGGTTGTGGCTAGCGAGGCAATCTCAGAAGCTATTAGAAATTTGGGAGAAACAGCATTAAAGGGAGCAGAAAATTGGTGCTCATTAATGGCTGAAATTATCAGTGATAATTCTCAATCAGCAGGCTTTATTTCCATTGCTGGGTCACCTAGATTTGGAGATTATAGTGCAAATTTTGGGTGGGGAAAGCCAAGGAAGGTGGAAATCGCGTCGGCTGAGTCATCATTAGAGTTTTCTTTCACAGATACTCCAAATGGTGACGGTGGAATAGAGATTGGAGTGGTTAGGGAAAGAGATGAAATGGAAACTTTCGTCACTCTATTTGCCCAAGGTTTTGAGTGTCTTTGAAAGAACAGATTGGCAAAAGTTTACATATTTGAGTATATAGATTTTAGTTTAGTTCGTTGGATCTGTATTTTTTATCAAATAAAGTAGCATGTTTATTATTTTTTTTAGTACAACATCAAGGGTGAGGGCATTCATATATGTCAATTACCACTCAGATATATTCAGGGAGATATTTATTTAATTTAAGAAAAGATATAAATTTTATTTTATTAATGTATACAATCTCCCATCTTGGAGAGAGAAAAAAAAAATAGAAAAAAATAATAATAAATAATCTCCCATTACCTTTTCTACCTAGATAGAACATTTTTAATAATCTTATTCTCTTCAAGAGTATTGAGCTAAAATAGAAGCGTTCTTTCTAGGGGAACTTTGAACTCAAGCCTTGCGCTACAGCAATTGAGACTTAACATCAGCTGGTAATTTGTAAACAATGTACCTTGATGTCAGTTTTGAAGAAGGGAGATTTTAAACAACGGATTTTTGATGTCCGTTCATAAATGACATTAAATATGTAGCAACAATATCGTTTAGGAATGACCATTGAAAGTGTTGAAAAATCGTGTGCTCCTATACGAAGTATTAAAATTTAAAATTCGGCTTTTTTGTCATTTCAGGACCGACATTAATTACTTAACAAAACGACGTTGTTCCATAGTTGAGTGAAACAATGCCATTTGGTTGAAACGCCTTCAAGTTGGCAAAGATATTCTGCAAACAACATCGTTGTTTCCTACTTTAAAGAAACGATCGACGTGGCTTTGTCTTAAACCTAAGCACGCTTAAAAGGGGTCACAAAATGATGTCGTCTACTGCTGAATACCGACATTAAAGGTATTTTTGTAAGTTCAAACATTTGAGCCAAACCATGTTTGTTGGGAAATCAACGGTCCTGTATTATTTCCCCTTCCATAGAAATATCCAAACACAACCACAATATGTAAATAGGAAGAAAAACTGTTGTTTGGGGATAAAAATACTCTGGACACGTGAATGATGCTCATTGGTGTTCAGGGAATAAAGGAAGTATCCCAGGTCCACCTCGAACTTGCCAAGGAGATTGGATTTGACCATAAATAGGGCTAAGTGTAAAAAGCCCCGGTTCGACCTGGACGGGTTCGATCTGCTGAAACCCGACAGATTCGACATAAAAAAGACAAAGGTAACCGCCGGTCGTGAGCATTGTCGGACCCGCCACCTATAAATAGAGGGCCTCATTTCACAGACAGGTATCGAATTTCACCTCGAACTTAATATTGAGTCCGACTAGAACTAACTTGAGCGTCGAAGAGTTTGCCCTCTTGTGCAGGTTCCATCTTGGGTTCAAGTCAAGCCGGAAGCCGGGTTCGAGCTTGGTTCGTAAAACCGAGTTGTGTAATTCCTTGCATAAACAACTGTAAAGCACAAGATAAATGACACAGCAGATTATATTGGTTCACCACTAAGAGCTATGTCCAGTCTTCCATGTATATGTGGATAATTCGCTAACAATTGTTTTAGGATTGGATACAATAAACTCTCCCCAAAAATATCCCCTAGAGTCTCAACAAAAACCCTATAGCTTTTAAGTATTTTAACACAATTAATCCTTAGGAACAAGAATGAAAAACTCACAATAATCAAGATATAATTTACCCTTAATAATATGATCTTGATCTCCCAATCTGTTGCCAACAATCGCGAGCCGCTGTTGAAAAACTGCTGCCAAAAATCCCAATTCGGCTACCCCTAGAATTTTGACGGCTACTCCCACAAAACATAAAATTCATCTTTATACGAATATGTGAAACCTAAAAATAAAGGTTTGGCCTTTTGGCCAATTATTTGTTTTCACTCCAACCTTTTTATTTATTTATTTTATTTTGTATCCAAAAATCCCAACAATCTCCCACTTGGAGATAAAATAACAATTTCGTCTCCCAGTGCAACAATAGTGTTCCATCATCTCAGCAACCCCGCCAAGGCAGTTCTAACTACACAAACAGTAACTGACTCAACAACTGCTTGGACCCATCCAAGCTCCGTCTGTGATTGCCCCGAGACTGAGCAATCGTACATGGTCTTGTCTCCCAGACGTTAAAGACACAGCCACATGCTCCCACTCGATCCAAGTGGTCCCTGTCGCTTCCTTTTTCGATCGAACCCAACGACCTATGAAGGAAGATTCCTCTCATGACTTGGCACTCCCATCCAAGCCTTTTGCCTTTCTAGTTCATCACCCTTTACTTCTGACCAGATGTAGTCTTCTCCTTTAATGCACTATCTCGCCTATGCGATTTCATCAGCTCGCTCATTCGTTTGACAAATGGGGTATTATACCGACAACCTGTTGAACACTTCACTAAGTTGTTCTCCTTACCTTTTCCTCTACTTCCCAGCTGTTGTACTTGAACTAATGGCAGACTCTTTTGATTTGTCCTGGTTGTTAATTATGCTGATTCTTTCAAATCTCGCCCTGAACCATCGGCAGCTACTATATGCATCCTCTATCTCTCAGATCTCCTGGCAACCTCAAACTCAAACACATAAACGGAAGATCTCATATAGTCTGTCACCACTACCCTGGATCCCGTCTCGAGCTTCCAGCAATCCCCAACAAACTCACTGCTGTAGCCATCGTCATCTAGCTTCCATACAGATAACAAATTAAATATGAAGCTAGGAATATACATGACGTCTTGTAGCACCAACTCGGCCCCTTCGCCTTTCTTCAAACAAACATCTCCAATTCCTCTCACCTTGCAGATACTCTCATTCCCCATATTAATTGAGCTATAATCACCTACAGTAAAATATGAGAACCAACGTCTGTCTGAAGCAACGTGCGCTAATGCTGCAGTGTCTACTACCCGCTGGTTTACGGATATGTTCCTCTGAACACAAGCCAGAAACTCATCAATTTGTTCTTCTCCTGTTACAACATTTGCAGTATTGTTCCCCTTCTCAAAGTCTTCTTTCAACTTCCCACAAAAGCGTTCAACGTGTCCCTTCTTGTGGCAATAAAAACATTCAACTTCTCCACTGGAACTCCCACTACCCCTGTTATTCCTATGTTGCTGCTTCCTGTTGTACTTCACCTTGCTCTTCCCCTTACAAAGAGCTACCAATGCTGATTCAACCCTATTTTCTGCCCCCGAAGTAGTTGCAGACATTTTCCCTAATTTTCTCCCAACTTCCTCAGATAAGGTAGCATCACAAATAGCTGAAAATTTAAAGCTATTTTCCCCTAGCGAATTCGACAACGCGGTCTTCAATGTCTTCCAATTGTCAGGCAAAGATGTCAACAGCCTCATAGCCTGCACCTCTTCCTCAATCTTGATACACGTCCCTTCTAATTTGTTCAAGATATCGGTGAGCTCATTAATGTGAGAATTCGTCGAGGTTCCCTCCTCCATGTGGATATTAAATTACTTCATCTATAGAAGTATTTTTGTATTGGTATAAGGTTTTCCATACATGTCTTGCAAGACCTTCAACAACTCCTTCACTATACTCTCTTTCGCTACCAGACTACAAACACTCATCGACAACGACATTCTGATGTTCGCAATGGCCTGCTCATCCATGTCATTCTAATACTTGTCAGTCATCTCTGCTAGACTCTCCTTCAAACTCTTGTGTATCTTCTTGCACGTAAGAAGATCCTTTACCAGCATCTTCTAAAAACTGGAATTCTCTCTGGTGAACTTCAGAACCCCTTCATAGTAATGGTGTACGTGTATTTGTCTCCCATGATGTTGCAATCCTACAACTTTGATACCACTTGTTGGGAAATTAACGGTCCTGTATAATTTCTCTTTCCACATAAATATCCAAATACAACCACAATGTGCAAATAGGAAAAAAAAACTATAAAGCAGAAGATAAATGACACAACAAATTATACTGATTCACCACTAAGGGCTATGTCCAGTCTTCCACTTAGATGTGGGTAATTCACTCATAATTGTTTAAGGATTTGATACAATAAATTTTCCCGAAAAATATCCCCTGGAGGTCCCAATAAAAACCACATAGCTTCTAAGTATTTTAACACAATTAATACTTAGGAACAAGAATGAAAAACTCGCAATAATCAAGATACAATTTACCCTTAATAATATGATCTTGATCTCCCAATCTGTTGCCAACAATCCCGAGCCGCTGCTACGAAAAACTGCTGCCAAAAACCCCAATTCGGCTGCCCCTAAAATTCTGACGGCTACTCCCTATAAAACATAAAACTCATATTTATATGAGTATGTGAAACCTAAAAATAAAAGTTTTGGCTTTTGGTCCATTATTTATTTTCACTCCAATCTTTTTATTTATTTATTTTATTTTGTATCCAAAAATCCCAACAACGTTGTTTCAGTTGTCATCCTTTCTAGTCCTTTCATTCTCCCACATGTGATATATAGCAAACCCTATTATTTTCAAAACCCCTTAATTTCTCTTCCCCTTCCATGGCCTTTGTCCTCTTTTGACCCCACCTCACGAAAAGGTTGTGCTCCCTTTTGAGTCCTATCTTCACCCGAAATGGTGTAGTATCAGGAAGGAGCTCTATTTTACTATTTATGGAGTTTATACGAGCTATTTTTATGTCCTATGTTTGACATTTTGAGTCTATTTTCGTCTCTGTATTCCAGATTTTTTTTAATCAATGTAGTGAAATTCTAGTTTTCTTTAAATCCACGGGATGTGTAAACCCCTAAATTTGTCCGACATTCAATTTCATTATTTCTTTTTATTTCTATTTATTGGTATTTTATTTTAGTTTTTAATATTTCTCTCTCTAGAATTTTTATTTTTTTGTGACAAATATTTTCTTTTTGATGTTTTATAAAAAATCGAAAATAAAAATATTTTGATTCCCTCCATTTCTAAAGATAAAATCTTTCGAGTAAGATAAAACAAACTTTTTTTTTTGGAAAATCTTTTTATTTGATTTAACAAAAGTAGTAAAAAAAATCAAACTTTAATGAGTCATATTTCTTCCATTTTCGTCCAGATTTGGGAGGCAAATGAATTTTTTTTATTAGGAAACTTTTTTATTTGACTTAACAAAAATGGTAAAAAAATAATGAGGCTTTTAGTAGTCATATTTTTTTCGTTTTTT